CATTGAATGCATCCACTCCATGATACTTGCCCGGGAGCATTACTTTTGGCTGGAAGGCCGACTTTGGAGGCGGAGTCTGGAGGCGGAGTCACTGGAAAAGGGATGTACCACTGAAGCAACTTTGCGCCTTAATCCCTTTACCGTACAACTTTCCGCCGCGAAACTGGCACAGGGTTGTTCACTCCGGACCGCACTACCTTCCTCACATAATTGCATTTTCATAGGTCATCGCGGACCGTTCTCGCAGACGGTGCCTTTGAGCTGCACCTATCCGGACAGAACTCTCTTGTGACTGCACTAGCTTATCTCGCGCAAAGTACAAGAACAAGAAACATAACGAATATGCATTTCTGGTAGTTTCCAGGCTACTTTCAACATCTCTGTACTACATGGGACCAGGTTCGTTGTGTTGTCGAACATGCCTCGAAGTGGGGAGAAGCGACGACGAGATGGCACGACCATTACCACGTTCCACGAAACGCCTCCAATGTCGACCTATCTGCTCGCTTTTGCTATCGGTACCGACAAAACGTTATTTTTTCAACTCTCGTGTTCCAAACAAATGAGGTTGTTCAGGAGAATTTGTCTCTTTGGAGATGCGAACGCAACGGAATTTGCCGCTGTCCGTGTGGACACATCCGGAAGACTCTCACTCAGCGCGATTCCCTGCTAATTTCTCCCCGACGATGTTTGATAGACTCGAAGATGAATTGGAAGTGAGTAGTTTCCCCTATATCAATCACTCTCTAGTGAAACAACTTGACCAGGTGCCGTATCCGCTACCGAAAATGGATTTCATAGCAGCGCGTAGCTTTCCAGTCGGTGGCATGGAAAACTGGGGCCTCATCGTATTCGACAAACAGTCACTCCTGCTCGACAGTGCTCTTGAAGGTCTGTTAAGAGGTCATTTCTTGCCCGTGATCCGAAAATCGACTAATTTCAGATGGTCTGAACATGACTGTTGACCGCCTCTATCATGAGTATCGCATTGAGAAGATCGTCACGCATGAAATAACTCATCAATGGTGGGTTTTTCTCGTTTTCATATTGAAAGGGGCGGAGGTAAAGGGTTGGTTGTCAAAATGAAATAAGTGAATCGTTGGGTGCCGAGCAAATTTTTATAGCGCCGCTATCCTTGTTGACGTCGAACGCAACCATGCGCTCACTTCAGTCCATATCCCAATGTTGGAGGGGCGTGTTCGCGAACTTCTTGTGGATGCGGAACCAGTAGGCAGTCGCCGGTCCAAGCAGCGACCTAGGCAACTGAGCATATGAGAGTGCTGAGGGAAACGAGAAAAAGTCGATAGATCTCTCACCCAATCTCTCTACATGAACCGGCAACTGTTTCCCGACGTATTGCTCACAAAAGGATTCATTGGCGCTACCCTCCAAGGCCAAGATATGGAGCGCACACTCTGCTCATATCGGAGCACTAGATGCCCATCGTGTAAGGGAAGGCAGAGGTAATGCAGGGAGGAAACAAAGTACTTCTGCATCGAACAAAGCTCCGACCCATTCCAAGGAATCACTTTTAATACTTTCATTTTGCACAAAAACTGTTCTACTTCAAACTGCTCCACTTTCATTGTACACTAATAGAGATAATCAACTGCTTAGGTTTGGCAACTTGGTGACGATGCGTGACTGGTCTGATTTGTGGTTGAACGAGGGCTTTGCAACGTATATGACCTACGACATGCTTCAACGGGACCACCCTAAACTGACAGAAAACGAGTACCTGACCCGACTGTGTCAACTCGTCCGCAAGCAGGTATTGTCTTCGATTGCATTAAGTTCAGCTCTGTGGAGGAAAGATTTGCCCTGCTGTAAATGGAGTTACGGTGTGCAAAAGAGCGACCGATTGCACAACTATTCCAACAGTGTTATAACTGAACGCGAATTCTGTTGTAGTCCGTTTACAACCGAAATCTCTGAGATGTGGTAGGCGTGGCTGCGTATTTCAACTAAACGCGACGGTGGCTGTGCTTCTTGGAACAGACATTTTCATTTTGACACAATTGTGGTCGTGTCTCTGTCCAACAGAGAACAAGATGACAGTTGTCTTGAACTAACCAGGAAAGGTCAACAGGTCGCCATGGCCATTCAAGATGGGATGCATATTGCCGTGTGCGTCTCGGGGCACTGAACTCAAATCTGGTTTCAGAATTTGCTGAACGATTCTCTAGGAGGAGTTAGGGGGGGGGGGTCGTTCTAGCATAGCACTCGCCGATCCTCCTTTGCAGCAGCTCAAGTCAAGTTGAAGGCAATGCTGTGTCGAAGTTGTCGAATGTGCGAGTGCAGAATGCAAGTTTCAGAAAATACTTCTATCCGTTATTTTGTCAAGCTTGCTCTTACTTGCAGCAGGAAAAGACTTAAAGCCGGCAATTGTGCTTCGCTTTCAAGACTTTTAGGCAGTGTTTACCCTTTACTGCAATCACCCGAGATCAAGCCAGTTTCAGACCGACTTTCCTTAGTCGAATTGCCTGAAAGTTGCCTACTAGGGTAGTCTGCCCTTCCAAACATGATTATCACATCCGCTCGGCACGAAACCTCCTAGCACTCGTGCCACAGGCGCCAGCGCAAAAATACCCTAAATCAGCAAGTTCGTTGAAAACTTGTCAACTGGGTAGTTTGACCTCCTATACTCGAATGCTCGAATGCTATGATACTGTGCAATGCTATAATACTCGAAATCACCAAAATCACTGAATTTTTCAAGTGGAGCAGTTTGACCTCCTAAACATCACATCTGTGTGGGGCGCTGAGAATGTCTGGGATAGAGAAAAAGGGGTAAAGTGATTACGCAACCTGCGCCTGCACCCCCCCCCCTCCCTGAAAAGGGGCACTTTCTCTGCTAAGGCTGAGCCTTAGCAAAGGGAACGATTTCTATGAAGCAAATAGGGGGAAGAGTGATGCGCCACTTTGGCCACGTTTGCTCCGACTGCCCTAAACAAGAGCCCCGCACGAAAGCGACTGGAGTCTGTGCTACACGCGATGGAGTCGGAACAAGCATGTGATGGGTCGCTTCTGGCGTATGCGTCAGGCGGTCCAAGTGTACGGATATGATACCCATGTTTAGCGGGTCAAACTACCCCAGTTGACAAGTTTTCAACGAACTTGTTGATTTAGGGTATTTTTGCGCTGGCGCCTGTGGCACGGGTGCTAGGAGGTTTCGTGCCGAGCGGATGTGATAATCATGTTTGGAAGGGCAGACTACCCTAGTAGGCAACTTTCAGGCAATTCTGCGCACGAAGAAGAAAGTCGGTCTGAAACTGGCTTGATCTCGGGTGATTGCAGTAAAGGGTAAACACTGCCTAAAAGTCTTGAAAGCGAAGCACAATTGCCGGCTTTTAAGTCTTTTCCTGCTGCAAGTAAGAGCAAGCTTGACAAAATAACGGATAGAAGTATTTCTGAACCACACAGAAGATGTCCTCGAAAAAACTGCGAACTTGTCGAAGGAAGCCGGAAGCGCGCATACCTCCCATATTAATTACGTCATACTTACCTATGCCAATGCACCCATCGACAGCTTTGACAGCAGTATGCCGTTCCAAACTTGGACTTGTAGCTGAGCAACGGAGGATCGGCGACCGGCTTATGCTACGACCCGCCCCCCTAACTCCTCCTAGAGAATCGTTCAGCAAATTCTGAAACCAGATTTGAGTTCAGTGCCCCGAGACGCACACGGCAATATGCATCCCATCTTGAATGGCCATGGCGACCTGTTGACCTTTCCTGGTAAGATATTTCTCACGAGTAACCCATTCTTCCTTCTTCTTCTACCCTTTTTTTATTTTCTTTACTTACCCATTTGCTTATTTATTTATTAGTCCGAAAGCATCGCCACATCCACCAAGTATAAGGCTGGAGGAGCAGGAGAATAGAGAAGCTCATAAGATCAAGTATATCCACCCATATCCACCCTTGTCAAGGACAATAGTTTTAAGTGAGCCTTCCCGAATTGGCAGAAGTTTCCTTGGCCTATATTTCGGCTTCTTTGCCGTCTTCAAAGCCTCGAAATAGAGTTTTTGGAAGTGGTTCAGCCAAGAAACGAAACAATCTTGTTCATAATTACAATTTTATCATTTTCCTAGAACACTAGTAAATCACCATATAAGTATTAATCAACTGGAGTGTGTTGCAAGGCTTACCTTGATCGCTAAGCGGGATGCCACTCAATAATGAGGGAAGAAGCACAGACGTGAGTCGCAGTACTTTTACTATTCGGAGGCTCAACGAAGTCTATTCGTGGTGAAAATTCATGTCAAAACTGCGGGATCGTGAAATATCCTTGCTTTTATTAGGTTATCGGGAAAGTTCTGTCACTTTTTTCAAATTGGGCTTTCTTTTTATAGAGAGGCGTGTAAGAATTTGTACAGCAATGTTACGGGGTCCTTGCCTGTTTTTGAGCACCTCATGGATGCCATCGCTTCACAATGCAGGGAGGCGCGATACAAAGTTGGACATCATCTCAATCTTGGCTTGAACTCAGACTTTT